TGTTGGTCTTCCTGAAACTGCTAAAACGGGACAATTTCTGGCGTCGTTCTTTTCATGAAGTTAATGCGGAGTTTGGGGGTGGGGGACGTTGATCTCCATTTCCACACCATCAGCCAGTGGTGTTTCATTTTAAAGAAGAAGCGGCAGCAGCTAAGTGGCAAGCACACTATGCTTTCTGCTTCCGTCCCACAGAATGGTACTCGTTTATCAATCTCTGACAGAAAAAACAAAACGAGAGATTCGACCAATACTCGAACCTTGGACCTCTCGGTTCTGAGTCCTATGGTCGGTCTATTGATTCATTAATCCCACTCTGTGTTGGTGATATAATTTCCCCTACTCCAAGTACTAAAATTTCTTCCAAAAAGTTTCCTAAGCAGCTAGTGGTAGTGAGATGGTTTTCTTATGCCTGTAAATCCAGTGAAGGGATAAGAAATTTCAGCAGTGTTGTTCCTTGTAGCTATAATTGCTTGTATAATAAGAGCCGTTTTGCCGTTGAGCTGTTCGATAGTGAGATGGCAATGAGATTTTAATAATTCTTCTCTTTCCTAATGGGAAACCTCACAATGACCAAGTTATTTATAACAGCCTGGAAACGAATATTGTGAAAACTCGAATAAAAGAAATCGATGTTTGCTTTAAGGCTATTACGATTTCTTCGCAAAAGCTCATTCGACGCGTCACGTGTTCGGTTTAAAGTAGTAGTTGTAGCGAATTTACTTCAATTTTCTAATAAATACAGAAGTTTCATCAACCACTAGCGGACCGACAGTGTAAACGGACAATAACAATAGGATTACGCATGCATTTCCATTTCTTCCGCTTAATGACATCCATTCCATTCTATGTTATCGACCAGTACAAATGTTCTCCTCTAGGAGACGAGGTTCTCTATTCTCTTCAGTTTTGCAGCGAATGACGAAGGGAACCGGATACCGCCTGAAAGCTTCAGTCTTACACCTGAGGATCGTAAGTTTATTGCCGGTTCCTTGATGGTTCGACATACAAGTCGCCATGTCGTTGTGAAGAGGATGTTCCCCGTCGGGGAGGATGTTGTTGTCGAGCCTCGCGGCACTCGTTACGACTAAGTTGGTAAGCTGCTTTGCAAGGGCCTGTACTGCAGATCCACAAAGGTTGGCTACCAACTTTAGTAGGCGCCTGATACGGCCATGGGGGCGGCCTTTCAAGCCACCGTAATAGGCGTGAGCTGCTTGGAGAAGCAATGGCACCATGCAGCCTTGTCCGAAAAACTGCAGCATCTCTCGCTTCACTCCAAGACGTTTCATTAGTCTGAAAAACGAAAAAGCCCTGGCGAATTTGGCGACCACAGATGGAACTTGTCGATCCGATGAAAAGCATGTATATATTTTAATGCCAAGACACTTCACTTTGGGACCTGTTGTGAAAGTCGTCACACTTCCGCCGGTCAACCGTGTCGATTGTTCTCCAGTTCATGAGGTTA